GGAACATGCTTCACAACTCCTTGTTCAGGCTCTTGTTCTGTCCAGGCTGGACTATTGCAATGCTCTCTTGGCAGGTCTTCCAGCCAGTTCTATCAAACCTTTACAATTAATCCAGAAGGCGGCAGCAAGATTTATTTTTAACGAGCCGAAAAGAATGCACGTCACACCTCTGTTTATCAATTTGCACTGGCTACCAGTAGCTGCTCACATAAAATTCAAGGCATTAATGTTTGCCTACAAAACCACCACTGGCTCTGCACCCCTTTACCTAAATTCATTACTTCAGACTTATGCGCCCTCGAGAAGCTTGCATTCTGCAAGTGAACGTCGCTTTATTGTGCCATCCCAAAGAGGCACAAAATCACTTTCACAGACTTTTAAATTAATTGTTCTGTGGCGCGTATCAGCGAGGGCACATCCGAGGGCAGATCAGCGTCGCCCTGAAAACGCCGCTCCTTCACTAATCACCAACGGCGAACACCTGAGCGTGATGGCCAGCGCACCTGGAGCTCATTCAGGACAGCTTTAAAAGCCAGGAGGAAAACCATGTCAGTTGAGTTGCATACTCCCTGGATGAGAGACTAATGTGTGTTTTTGTGCCACTTTTACAGAGACAGACTGAATCCCTGGCCACTCGCTGCGCTTCACAGATGACCACAGACACTATCACCATTGGGAACCAGAGCACCTTCACAAAACACTGTATTATAATTTCTCTGCTTAAATAAATCACCCTCCAGGGGTTTTGCTGTTAAACTCCATCTACTGTGTCCGTGCTCTCATTCACCCCGCTACAGTTCCCTCCTGGTGGAATGACCTGCCCAACTCCGTCCGAGCAGCTGAGTCCTTAGCCATCTTCAAGAATCAGCTAAAAACGCATCTCTTCCGTCTTTATTTGACCCTCTAACTCTAGCACTCTCTATTCTAATTTTATTCTTTATAAAAAAAATAATAAAACTTGCCCCTTTTAGACTTGCACTCTATTTACTAACTGCTTAGTTTTTTTTTGCTTGTTTTATTTTAAGAAAAACAGCAGTTCTCTAATCTTTTTGTATTCTATCTTTTTCTTTATGCAATTAACAAAAGCAAAAAAGGCCTCTAACACTTGCTTTTTCAATTCTCAGTTTTTTTTATTTATGATTTAAAAAAAACAACCTTGCTACATGTACTGCGTTAAGCTAACTGAGACTTGTTATAGCACCTGCGTATCGTTGCTCTTTTGTTGATTTTGATCGCTTCCGTTGTCCTCATTTGTAAGTCACTTTGGATAAAAGCATCTGCTAAATGTAATGTAAAACACCAGTGTCAATCAACAATTAAGGGAAGGGTGCTGGGTTTGTGACATCACTCAGCCAAGAATCTGTGAAACACTTGATCTGAGACAGTGCTAGGGCTGTGCGATTAATCAAAATCGTCATAAAATCGCGATTTGAGCGTGCGCGATTTCTAAATCGCTTTATAGCGGGCATACAAACGTAACGCCAGGTTCACACACTCCGTCTGTGGTGCGTATTTTGTCCGCGCCCATGTTAATGGATCAGAGCGTTCACACTGCACGGGATTGCGCTCCAGGGGCGGTGCGTCTGCAGCAGTCATGCTGCGATCGTTTCCGGATGGAGTCTATTTCTGCTGTGCTGCACGCGCTGAATTAAAGTGACAGCGCATTATTCGCGGTAAAAAATAACATGGATTGGCACGGAAATTTAGTAATTACACCATAAATGCATATAATTATAGTCTACTGTTTCACAGTCAACACATGGCTTTTTGGCAAGATTTAAAACAAGGAAAAGTGCACTTTTAGATAAACAAGGTAATAATAGATGGCACTCATGGTGGTAGTTAAACAAAGTTATATTGATTGAGTTTAAACGTGAATATGTCTATGAAATATTGTATTACTGTTGTTTCAAATTCACACTGAATGCATTTATGACTGTAAAGCATGTCTGTGTGTGTCAAAATCGTGATTAAAATCGAAATCACAAAATTGATCAAAGAAATCGCAATAGGTTTTTTTTGTCCATATCGCACAGCCCTAGACAGTGCACATGATTTATGGGGATTTAAAAAAAAAAAGCACTGGGTGAATTTTTATCATTGTAGGGTGGTTGTGTTCACACACTGCCAGCACACATTTATGTTCAAACACCATGTAAAAGTGAATTTTGCATCTGATGTCCCCTTTAATGTTATAGATCTATGTAGCAAATGAGAATCAATAAAATTGATAAAATATATTTTGAGACAAAGGTCTTGTTAAAGTCTGTGTAAAGCAATATTAAAGTGCCCCTATTATGGATTTTTGAAAATGACCTTTCATGCAGTGTGTAACACAGCTCTAAGTGATTGAAAACATCCTGCAAAGTTTTAAATCTGAAAGTTCACCATGTATAAAGTTATTGTCTCTCAAAATAAAGAGTCGACTCTGAATCATTTAAACGAGTCATTTTTAAGGCGAGACACTGCAGGTGAATAGGGTAAAAAAATTAACTACTAATTATCACCTTACTTACCCAGTTGATTGATTACATTGATAATTGCAAACATTACACAAATAGATAAAGTGCTATAAAAGAAACGCTTAACAGTGTCTTTTGGATGTTTTCTTTCCACTAATCTGAAAAAACACTTTATGAAAAGCCAAAAAGCCCAAAATCTCAAAATTGACGGGTGCATGAAAAAACAGTGCTTTTGTCAGCAGTGTCTCCCCTTAAAACGAATCCCAAGCCGTTTCATATTGATGTCAACATGAAACATTAGCATATTGCCCGCCCACTTGTTGCGCGCGCAGACCCGGGAAAACTTGAAAACTTGGGTCTGAATGAAAATCCAAATTCATTCTTTGCCACTAGGTGCAGCTTTTGGAGTGGTAAAAATAGCGGTTTCCCCATTAACGCTGTACACAAAGCAGCACTGCGCTCACAAACGCTGCTTTATCAGGCATTACAGGCGAGATGAAATGAAAATGAGAACAATCGGACCAATCACCGCAGATTAGCGTCACGCAAAGGAGGGGTTTGGAAAAATTAATCGTTGAGCGAATCATTTGGGAGTCGTTGAGCAAGTAAGGTAAAAATAAATGCATATTATAAGACAATGAAAGTGTTTTTTGACCTTGCATGCATGTCAACCTGTTGTTAGGGACTCCCAAAACCAAAATATGAACCTTTCATAACCCAATGACAAAAGGAGCACTTTAAATGTCTTCTGAGTTTGTCACACCACAGAAAAATGTGTTATTAACAACCCAACCAAATTTGAATGATAAAAAACAGCAAGTAAATAACATAAGGCATCAAAATTTTGAAAAAATAAGCAGTATTCTCTACTCTCAAACACTGGGGGCATCCACTGTCGGCACTGAAACCACGCCCATTCGCGGGAAAGATGCCGTCTCTCTTTAACTGTCAAATACCGCTACAACACGAATGGATGCTCTCTCTAGCAGCATAATTTAAATAAGGAGATCGAGATGTTTTGTAAATGATCGCAACTAGGTAATAATGCATTTACGCAACGAAGGTATAGCTAGCTAGCAAACTGTAGGCTGTAGTAACTAACGGTAAAGTCAGTAGCTCGCTATTTAGCTCGGCTAAATGAAAGTATTATGTAGGTATAATACCTTATGCATTTATATGATTTTTGTTTTTAAAAAACACCATTTATGATTTATTTTTTATTTATTTTCCCACAAAATGTGTTGCTCCAATTATCAATAAAAACATATATTTCAGAGTTGCTAACTCTGACACATGCTTCCAGGCTCTTGATATCCCTGCTTGCGATATGAAAAAGTCTCAGCTTTTTATACGTTTTAATACTAAATTCAAACAATAAATACCATTTTGGTGCACTTAATGTGGCGTAAATTGTAAAATGTAGCGCTTCAGTTAAAGCCAGAGCCATTGAAAAACAGAGTTGCGACAAGCTTTGATCTCGCAAGGTCACGTGGATCATGGAGCTCTCCAAACAAACCAGGGTTGACAATCACTGGTCTATAATAGAGTCATTATATATAGATCAGTGGTGACAATACACTTGAATGGGTTTAAGTAGGATAGACGACAGCTTCATTATACAGGTATTTGCAGCAATTTTTGGTAAACATTACAGCATATTATGCATGGATTATTACGTCTGTCACGAATCCAGTCCGTGGCCTTCCGTCCGATTGCCACCAGAGGTCGCCCTTCCATTATATTGACTTTCACACCACACTACATTTCCCATGTTACATTGCACTGATTGGACACACCTGCAGTCAATCACACACACACACACACACACACACACATACACACTATATAACACCCACTCAGATCCTGCTCAAGTCGCCGAGTATTGTCTGCGTTTATCGCTCTCCAAGTGATAGCACTTTACGGAGCCATTTCCCTGTCTTAGTTTCTAGTTTCTAGTTCCTAGTCTCAGTTCCTAGTTCTTGTCTGACTCAAGCCCGTTTTGGATTGCTCTTTTGTCTTGCCTATGCCATACCTGTTTGCTGTTGTTCGACCCTGCCTGTGTTTTTTGACCATGTTCGTTAATAAAAGCTTGCATATGGATCCGCACGTCTCTCGTCTCGTCGGCTCTGTTACAGAATACTCGGCCACACAAGGATCCAGCAGCTTTTCAGAAGAACATTGGCCAGGTATGGACACAGCACGAATATTATTAGCTCTTAAACAAGGCCGGCGTTCGCTGGAGAACTATATTCCAGAGTATCTAGCCATTGCCTATTACTCTGATTTACCGGACTGTTTGTTGATAAGAGTATTTTTGCGAAGGTATTAATCAACCGCTGATGTCTAAGCTTAGACGCGAGGGTCCGCGTTCATCACTCAGAATCACACACAGTTTATGGACTATGCTTTGTTGTGTGTTGGCTCTTCATTCACTGTGGGTGTCGCGGAGGAGGAACGCGACACCGTGTCTGTGACTGAAATGGCGGATGCACCAGAATGCACTCACATAATGGCGGCTACAACAACGGAGACTGTTCGCAAAATGGCGGCCACAACAACACACCGTCATTTCTCATTTGCTATTCCTGAGTCAAGTCACGTCACAGTTGACCGTCATGAATCAAGTCAAGTCACAGTTGATCGTCATGAGTCAAGTCAAGTCACAGTTGATCTTCATGAGTCAAATCACATCACAGTTGATCGTCATGAGTCAAGTCAAGTCACAGTTGATCTTCATGAGTCAAATCACGTCTCAGCTGATCTCCCAGAGTCTCGTCACGTCTCAGCTGATCTTCCAGAGTCACGTCACGTCTCGGCTGATCTTCCAGAGTCTCGGCACGTCTCAGCTGATCTTCCAGAGTCACGTCACGTCTCAGCTAATCTTCCAGACTCTCGCCACATCTCAGCTGATCTCCCAGAGTCTCGTCACGTTTCAGCTGATCTTCCAGAGCCTCGTCACATCTTGTCTGTTCATTCAGAGTCCTGTCACTTCCTGTCTGTTGCACCCAGATCCTCAAGGACTGTTCTTCAGTATCCCAGACTGGCATCCAGCGTGGAAGACCCACCGCTGGTGTCAGCACGTGCAGCTGGTATCCCTAAACCAGTACTCTCAAACCCTTCTGTCCCAGAAGTAATCCCCTTGTCTGCTGCATTTCCTATATGGGGAATTGCTTTCTGGTGTGTATGGGCTGCGTTCACTACCACCGAAGTTCCAGAGCCAGCGACGTCCGCGGAAGAATTGCCAGAGGTGGTGGCTGAGGCTGCAGAACCTCCAGAAATGGCATTGCCCGCTCCAGATCCTCCAGAGGTGGCGGCTGAGGCTGCAGAACCTCCAGAGGCGGCGGTGCTCGTTTTGGATTCTACAAAGGTGGCGGCGTATGCTGCAGAACCTCCGGAGGCGACATCTTTCACTTCAGCTCTGGTTACAGTAGTGGCGCCCATTATTGAACTCTTTGTCTGTCCTGTCACGGCTATGAAGGCTGTCTGTGAACTCTCTGCCCATCCAGTCACGGCTATGAAGGCCATCTGTGAATCCTCGTCCTGTCCTGTCACGGCTATGGAGGCCGTCTGTGAACTCTCTGCCTGTCCTGTCACGGCTATGGAGGCCGTCTATGAACTCTCTGCCTGTCCCGTCATGGCTATGGAGGCCATCTGTGAACTCTCTGCCTGTCCCGTCACGGCTATGGAGGCCGTCCGTGAACTCTCTGCCTGTCCTGTCACGGCTATGGAGGCCGTCTATGAACTCTCGTCCTGTTCTGAACCAGCCATGGAGGCTGATTGTGATCTGTCTGTCCGTCTAAATGCTGCTATTGAGTCTGATTTTGAACACTCTGTTTTGCCAGTTTCTGTCAACGAGTCTGATCATGAACTGTCAGTCTATCCAGAATCTATCCATGAATCTGTGTCTGAATTATCTGCCAGTCCCGTTTCCCTCAATGAACCTGACGTTAATTCACCTGTCTGTTTCCACCCCACTGACAATTCTGATGTCTTACTATCTGCCTGCCCAGTATCAGTTTATGAGTTGTTTGTCAGTTCAGTTCCAGTCACTACTCTTGGTTATGAACAGTCTGTTCACCCTATCTCTGCCAACACACCCTGTTTTGAATTGTCTGCTTATCTGGTCTCAGTTAACAAACCTGTTTTTGAACTGTCTGCCTGTCAAGTTTCGGTCAGTGAGCCTGTTTATGAACTGTCTGCCCGTTCAGTGGTCACCAGGGAGACTATTGATGAACTTTTTGCGCTCCCTGCCTCGGTCTTTGAGACTGTATATGCTCTGTCTGTCTCTTGTGTCTTAGTTTTTCCTAGGTCCCAGTCTCTACCATGGGTCTCTGCTCCGTCTGCTCCGCCGTGGTGGTCTTCTGTCTGGCACTGGTGGTCTTCTGCTCCGCCATGGTGGTCTTCTGTCTGGCACTGGTGGTCTTCTGCTCTGTCTGCTTCACCGTGGTGGTCTTCTGTCTGGCTCTGGTGGTCTTCTGTTCCGTCTGCTCCGCCGTGGTGGTCTTCTGTCTGGCTCTGGTGGTCTTCAGCTCCGCCGTGGGGACCTCTGCTGTGGTGGTCCTCAGTTCCACCTATCCTGCCGGCTCCGCCCTGGCATCCGGCTCTGCTGGCTTTGCCTCAGTACCCTGTCCCTCCACTTCCACATGGACCTGGCCCTCCATCCCTCCGCCTCCGCTCCACCACCCTCCTGGATTGTACTATGTTGGGAGCGTCTGGGGGGGCTCTGTCACGAATCCAGTCCGTGGCCTTCTGTCCGGTTGCTACCAGAGGTCGCCCTTCCATTATATTGACTTTCACACCACACAGACTGTTACATGTCACCCTGGACTACATTTCTCATGTTACATTGCACTGATTGGACTCACCTGCAGTCAATCACACACACACTATATAACACCCACTCAGATCCTGCTCAAGACGCCGAGTATTGTCTGCGTTTATCACTCTCCAAGTGATAGCACTTTACGGAGCCATTTCCCAAGATCTACCGTCTTAGTTTCTAGTTCCTAGTCTCAGTTCCTAGTCTTAGTCTAGTCTCATTGTGTTTCCTGGTTTCTGATTCTTGCCCGCGTATCTTGGATTTACCTTTTGCCTTGCCGTTTCGGACTGTGTTTGCCCCTCACCTGGACTATTGCTCTCGTTTACGGATTACCTCTCTTGTCAAGCCCTCTGGATAACGTTCGCTGTCGTCTGACTCAAGCCCGTTTTGGATTGCTCTTTTGTCTTGCCTGTGCCATACCTGTTTGCTGTTGTTCGACCCTGTCTGTGTTTTTTGACCATGTTTATTAATAAAAGCTTGCATATGAATCCGCACGCCTCTCGTCTCGTCGGCTCCGTTACAACGTCAATGACATTTACAGTATTAATTTTATTCTGGAGAGTGATGGAGAGGCAACATTAGTATGGTTTTCTTAACCCTCAGGTATTGCTTACTTTTAATGTATGGCTTACCTCTTTGGCTCTTTATTAATTATATCTAGAATATTGCAGGTCATACCTGCTTACTTATTTTTAAGTTCTTCATTTGAATAAATATTTAGACACTAGATTTTTAAATGAGAAATTAAAAAAGTTAATAATTTGCATCCTTTTTTTAAATGATACTCGCATAATTACACACAATGAATGCAAGCAAATACTGAATTTAAACCAAGTTTAAAATGATGCTAAAAAAGGCATTCAACAAAATATTTTTATCCCCTTATATTTACAGTATACAGTATATACACATGAACTGATATTGAATCGAGATGGAAAACCCTGATATTTTCTGCAATCATGCACTATGGCTGTAGAGGAAAGCACATTTCCTTAAGGTGTGACTTCAGCTCCACTGTATCCTGTGTGTCCATACTCAAGGACACGATAGCTGGTGCATTTCGATCTAAAGCATGTCTGTATTAAGTAAGCACTGGGCCTGACCTGCGGGCCGGAGTCTGCTGTGACAGGCGTCTGACAGAGCGGTGAGGTCTGGACAGAGGCCTTCTCACCCTCAGCATCCTCATTCAGAATGTCCTCGGCTTTATCCATGATCTCCTTCAGCTGCTCGATGAACATCTCCCTCTCCAGCAACAGAATAAACTCATTCTCAACCTGGAGGAACATCAACAAGAACAAGCACTTTGAGCCCAATCATCTATCCAGGACAAGCAGATACAGTACGCCCATCTACCAATTAAGATTCAATGAGCTGTATATGAGGAACACTGTCTGAACATGACAATAAAGCATTAATGCAGTGGTTCTCCAAAAATGGTTGTGTTCTGACAGGCTCACAGACTGCAGGACAAAAACAGATTTGTTATTTGCCCCATACAAATAATGCAATGCTACCAACCACACAATTGTACATTTATGATTAAAAAAATAAATAAGAATTGTATATCTTGTGTTGTTGCTGAGTATTTTTTCAGACACAAAGTGGAGTTAGTTCAGGTCTGCCAAGCAATGTTGCAACCTTACACATTAATAAAACATGTTCTGGATATAGCAGCTTAATAGCCACACAGAATTTAGAGTCTATCATTTGAGTTAATTAAGTTTTTTTAATGAAATTAAAAAGTACTTCATTTATATGATTATAATAATGAAATAATCAGATGTTAATGCATGTTTAGTTTGACAGATTTGAAAAATTTTGGCCCATTCCTACTCCAAATCCTACCACACGTTTACATTAAGAAAAATAGCATCCATAAACTTTAGTACAGGAGTTTGAAACGCATCACCTCTGGGAGTTTGCCAGAAGAAGAGAAGGGCATATGGGGAGGGAGAGAGAAAGTAGAGGTGAAGATCTCACCATATATGTGGCAATCTCCTCTGGAGCATCTCCATCAAGGTCAAATTTAAACGTCACCATCTTATGATTATGAGTCTCCAGCTGACACTCCACCATCTTGTCTCCTGTGTCACACACCTGTAACACAGTCACAGAGAATACAACAACAGGAACTTCAAAAAAATGCCTCTGAAAGAACTATGTCAACATTAACAGAAATGTTTCAAATTATTTTAGGTGTTCTAATGTCCAAACCAGCACTCATGTCTGAGCTTTGACCCGTGAAACACTCAAACAATTATAAGCTTCACAAATCACTTTATTTTTGACAGCTAGCATCTAAACATCATGTTTGGACATTCTTCATCTGTGACTCACTTTGATCATGGTGAGTTTGGGTCTGTTGATCTTGTCTTGGCGGGAGCGCGTGCGGGACGTTTTGCGATTGGGTTTTCGCACTCGTGATTCACTGCGAGCTCTGCCGGAGCCCTCGTTTCCATCGCTCATCTCTTTACCGGATGTGGCATCTGAGTTTATACTGCAAAAGAGCAGAGATCCGATCACTGAGCTTCTGCATGCATGAGGTTTGTAACTCCGAAAGCGTGCGAGATGAAAAAAGAATACAGCACTGTTCTGTGAACAGAGAAACACACCTGTCATTCGTGGAACCAGCTGGTGCTGTCTGTTTATCAGGAACATGCTCCTAAAGTGCACAGAAGGCAATGAGTTCAACGGCAATGGCACATGATTAAAACAGAGATTGCTGTTTACGTGTTGCTAGGCTAAATATAAAGATATAAATATAAAGCACTCACAAAAGCTTGGTAAGACAGTCCATTAATTGGACTAAACCAATGAATGAATTACATTCATAATAAACCTTATCTCCTGATGCTCCCTACACAAATCTATGCATTACTGCCTGCCACTTTATTTTGAACACAATATTAGATAATGCAGCATCAAAACTGTTTATAGCTGTAAAGACTGATGATACAAAACAAATTTATGCCTGTAATTCAAATTTATTACAATGTACCTACAGTCTGGCCATGTCCAAGGAACATCAATGTAAGGCATTTGCGAACATCACACAAATGAACGAGGGAATCTCCGCATTCCACCTGGCTCCTGGGCTACACTTGGGGACAGGAGTCCTTCCTGGGCTGAACTGGGAATCAGGAGCCCTTCGTGGGCTATA